CCTGGGGAACTAACTCAGAGCCTTGCATATACCAGGCAAGCACCCTACCACTAAGCCACATCCCCAGCACTCCTACCTCCTTGTGTGTGTGTGTGTGTGTGTGTGTGTGTGTGTGGTGCTGGGGATTGAACCCAGGGCCTTGTGCATGTGAGGCAAGCACCCTACCACTAAGCCACATCCCCAGCACTCCTAGCTCTTTTTCAATGCCTGTGAGTGGGCAGGGGGTGGGGAGGGTGACTCAGAGGCAGAGCTCTTGCCTAGTATGCTTGAGGCCCTGAGTTCCAAACCCAGCACTGTAGGGAGAAAGAAAACAATCAGTGAAGAAAAAACTCTTTAAAGATTCACTGCCCAGCCATTATGAAGTCAAACAACAACAAGTGCTGGTGAGGATGTGGGGAAAAGGGTACACTTGTACATTGCTGGTGGGACTGCAAATTGATGCAGCCAATTTGGAAAGCAGTATGGAGATTTCTTGGAAAGCTGGGAATGGAACCACCATTTGACCCAGCTATTCCCCTTCTCAGTCTATTCCCTAAAGACCTAAAAAGAGCATGCTACAGGGACACTGCTACATCGATGTTCATAGCAGCACAATTCACAATAGCAAGACTGTGGAACCAACCTAGATGCCCTTCAATAGACGAATGGATAAAAAAAAAAAATGTGGCATTTATACACAATGGAGTATTACTCTGCATTAAAAAATGACAAAATCATAGAATTTGCAGGGAAATGGATGGCATTAGAGCAGATTATGCTAAGTGAAGCTAGCCAATCCCTAAAAAACAAATGCCAAATGTCTTCTTTGATATAAGGAGAGTGACTAAGAACAGAGTAGGGACAAAGAGCATGAGAAGAAGATTAACATTAAACAGGGATGAGAGGTGGGAGGGAAAGGGAGAGAGAAGGGAAATTGCATGGAAATGGAAGGAGACCCTCAGGGTTATACAAAATTACATACAAGAGGAAGTGAGGGGAAAGGGAAAAAAAATACAAGGGGAAGAAATGAATTACAGTAGAGGGGGTAGAGAGAGAAGAGGGGAGGGGAGGGGAGCGGGGGATAGTAGAGGATAGGAAAGGCAGCAGAATACAACAGACACTAGTATGGCAATATGTAAATCAATGGATGTGTAACTGATGTGATTCTGCAATCTGTATATGGGGTAAAAATGGGAGTTCATAACCCACTTGAATCAAAGTGTGAAATATGATATATCAAGAACTATGTAATGTTTTGAACAACCAACAATAAAAATTTAAAAAAAAAAAAAAAAAAGATTCACTGCCTCCAAGTAGAGGCAGGACTGGCCCCTGCCCTCTCCCAGTCACTTTATAAGTACCGCGCGCTAACCGATTGCGCCACTGGAGCTCTTCTCCCAGTCACTTTAGAGCTCCCAAAACACTGACCTCCAGCCACAGAGGCTTCCATTCTGTTTCTTAAAGTCACTAGGCCCCTTCCTGACTTATAACATTCCTATTTGTCATTCCTTCGGGGACACTTTCTCCTAGTTCTTCACACAGCTTGCTCATCTCATGGTCCTCATGTGCAGACCCAGCTTCTCCACATTTATCATTCTGTGCTGGACTGCATACTTGTATTACCTCAAAAATCATATGCTGAAGCCCCCACTGTGTCTGCATTTGGAAAAGATGAAGGTCAAAGAGGCTGTGAGAATGGAACTCTGAAGTGACAGGATTAGTGTCTATAAGAGACACCAGAGAACACTGTCCCCCCCACCAGCATGCACTGAAGAAAGATCACACACCACAGGAAAGCATCTGTCTGCAAGTCAGGAAGACAGCCCTCACCAGAGATCTGGCACCTTGACTTGGATTTCCTCCAAGTGAGAAATAAACTTCTTCCTTCACTTTTTTTTTTTTTTTTTTTTTTTTTTTTTGGTATTGGGGATTGAACCCAGGGGCAATTAACCACTGAGTGACATCTCCAGCCCTTTTTTATTTTGAGAAAGGGTCTCTCTAAGTTGCTGAGGCTGGCCTTGATCTCCCTGCTTCAGCTTCTCACATTACTAGGATTATAGGCATGCACCATAACATCTGACCTAAGAAATAAACTTCTGGTTGTTTAGGCCATTGCTTCTGTGGTATTTTGTTGTGGTAGCCCAAAGACACTAATACATTCTCTATTGTGACATGTAAATCAATTTCCACAACTGCCATGCCAGGGTCTGGATTTTACTTGGGTTATTTGCTCTCCTGTTCTTTCACCTTCTCACTGCAAAATGAGCATTATATGGGGAGGAAACATTTCCACTGCCCCTACTGTGCCCAAGGCACCTGGCTTGGTGCTTGAAAAGCAGCAGAGATCATGGGAAGGAAATACATCCTTACTGCCCCTTCAGAACCCAGGGCACCTGGTTCAGTGCCTGAAAAGCAGAAGAGATCAGCAGGTACTCAATGCAGAAAAGTGAATGTTCTCCACAGAAAGCCTGCCTGCACAGTTGTCTCTTAGATACTGCCTGGGTCCAAGGCTTGAAGAGTGCTCCCAGCATTCTGTTCCTGGCAAAAACTCACATGCCTGGACTGCACACCTATAGATTGCTGGGTTCTGTCGGCACAGGGGAAATGAGCAGCACTTGCCAGCTCCCCCTGGACTGCACACCTGCAGATAAGACTGCTCTGGCCTGTCAGCAGAGGGGGACAGAGCCATACCTGCCAGCTCCCCCGGGACTGCACACCTGCAGATAAGACTGCTAGGGCCTGTCAGCACAGGGGGACAGAGCCATACCTGCCAGCTCCCCCTGGACTGCACACCTGCAGTTAAGACTGCTGGG